CCCTAAATCCTTAAACTCCTAAGCCCGAAATCCTGTAGGAAATTCGCACAGCAGCCCCCCCGAAACGAAACTTCCTGCAGGGCCTTAGTCTCGATTCGCCAAATGTCCAGCGCCTGGTAAAGGGTTCGAGGGTTTAGGGTTTAGGNNTTAGGCCTTAGGGTTTTAGGGTTTAGGGTTTAGGGTTTAGGGTTTAGGGTTTAGGGCTTAGGGTTTTAGGGCTTTAGGGTTTTAGGGTTTAGGGTTTAGGGTTTAGGGCTTAGGGCTCTGGGGTTTAGGCTTTAGGGTTTAGGGTTTAGGCTTTAGGGGTCTAGGGTTAGGGTTAGAGCTTATTGTTTTGGTACCTGGTCAAGCGCTCTAAGGTTCTAGGGTTAGGGTTCTTTGGGGTGGGTTTAGGGCTCTATGGGTTTAGGGCTTAGGGATTAAGATCTAGCATTTAGGCTTTACGGCTTTGGGTTGTAGCTGAGGAAATGTTCAGCAACCATGCCCAGCTTATGTTCAAGGGCAACAGCTCACAACAAACTTACTTGTGAGGCTGCTCCAAGATGTGATGGAAACACTCTGAGAGTGACGAACAAGATCAGAGGATATAGGGGTCGTCTTTAGGGTTTAGGGTTTAGGGTTTAGGGTTTAGGGTTTAGGGTTTAGGGTTTAGGGTTTAGGGTTTAGGGTCTTGACCTTAGACCCCAAACCCGAACCGTTCTTGTTTCACGGCTTCCGGGTTTTCTTCGGCTCGGGAATATTCCTGAGGCCAATGAAGGATCCCAAACAACGCGCTCCTAAACAAGGGGTATGAGCTCTACAATTCTTTTGCCTTATGAGCCCTGACAAAAGCGCTATAAAATTTATAGACATATTCTCTGCGGACATTGTGCGGAGGCTCTTGCCCATCAGCCGGCGGCAGGCTCGGTGGGAGAAGCACTGCGCAACCCAAAACCACCCACAACAGACCTGCAACCTCTGTAAACCTTCTAACTTAATTAACCTAATCCTCAGGCCGAGTTGAAACCCTAAACCCTTGAGAACCTCAACAACCCAGAACATTGAATCCAAAGCCACGCAGTCTGAAATGCAAACTCCGAGAACCCTACACGAAAACCGCCACAAACCTGATCCCTGAAAACCCTGAAAACCTCAACCCTAAACCTTAAAGACCAAAAACCCCCAACTGCAAACCCCAACACCTATCCGTTTAGTAACCCTTATAGCAACTTGCACAGTAACCGTCTAGTAACCCTAAAGACAAAGCGAAGCGGACGCCTGAAGAAACCCTAAACCCTAAACCCTAAACCCTAAACCCAAGAACCTAAACCCGAACACCCCCCAAACCCTAAAACCTAAACCCTAAAGATGGAAGTGTCGTGTTTTCACCATGGCCGGGCCTTCGCACTGCCTCGCAACCTGGCGGCTCCCTCGATGAACTCCGACAGCCTCCACGGAAAAAGGGTTTAGGGTTTAGGGTTTAGGGTTTAGGGTTTAGGGTTTAGGGTTTAGGGTTAAGTGTTTAGGCCCCTTTGTCAGGAAGTTTGGGTTGCAAGAACCCTGAAGCCCTAATCTCTGTGTGGGCTGTGAGCTTGTTCCGGAGCAAAGAGGATTGGGTTTCATGTTCGTCAGCATGCGGGGCTGCCTGCATTTGGAGAAACTAGCAAGCTTTGCATGTCAAGGGACAAGTAAAAATGACTGGCAACACCAGCAAACTGCAATCAACAACTAACACGGAGACTCTGCGTCATGTGACAAACCCGAACTCGCTGAACGGGATTTTACGAGCTGCTTTCAGTCAAAAAGCGCAGGTTTACCGCTTGGCGGGCAACGGAAAGTTCGAAGCTAGTAAATGCTAAGATGCCGTGCGTGGGGACTTGTAGTTATCATAATCACGAAAATCGCGCGAACCAGCGCACTGATGAAACGTAGTAGCACGAATATCAGCAGCAGCAACAACTCGTCGTAGTCGTTGTGTTTGTCGCCGTTGTCTTCGTAGTCGTGGTCAAAGTAGCAGCAGTGGCTGCTAATGATAGTGTCTGGAGAAATGAAACGGACATATGTGATTGAACAACGATCTTCATCCGCAATGGCCTCTGCAAAACCCAATGCCCTGAACATGCAGTTCCAAAGACCGACCTTTGGGTTTCAAGCCCCGACATAGTCGAAAAGGGTTTTCGTGAAGGGTCTTAGATACTCTTAAAGATGAAGCTGATTCAGCTTTTGCTTCAGCATGGGCCAAGAACCCTACCCGTAGATGCGTTCTGCATAACACCAGATCATCGGTTGGGGAAAGGTAAGGGGGAGCGGGGAGGCTAAGGCCAAAAGGAACAAGTTCCGATTAAGCCTTCCTGTACTAATTGCAAAGAAAACGGTCAAAATCGATCTTCCTGCCCCTAAACCCTCAACCCTGAACCCTATAACCCTAAACTCTATCCCCACCTCAGATCTTCAATGCAGTTCAGGGGCGTTATTTCACCATCTCCGTTGTCGAGGAACTCGAAGAGGCTCATCAAGTCATGATACTCCAGCCTGGGGCACTTAGGGTTTAGGGTTTAGGGTTTAGGGTTTAGGGTTTAGGGTTTAGGGTCTATGGCGTGATGATGCTTTAAATGGCCCCCAAGGTGTAGCTGCATCTTGCGAGCGCAACGAGTCGGAGAAACACAAACATACGCAAAATTTGTGTCTGCCTACAACTGCAAATATTCACGCAATACAACTTGTAACTGCAGCCCTTAACGACTTGCCAACCGGGAAACATTGGACCTGCAATCCTCGTGAAACGACGGCACAAGCCTCCAACCCACGATTTTCAAGGCCTTGCAGAAGAAAAATTCTCCACCCCCACAACCAACACTTGAAGCTCGATGACAACATGAAAAAGCACTAACCAACGCCCTAAACAGCAAGCAACAACTCTCAGCACCTCCAGGCCACTGTGGCCGACTGCCACAACTGTAATCCAAAGCTTCTAGACTGATCCAAACCGGGGGGATTGGGGCTGGAAACCTGACCAACAAGCTGGCGAAAATTATGTGGCTTGTGAGAATTCCTTGCCTAAAGACCCTAACACCCTGAACCTGAAATCCAATAAGCTTTGAAACAAGAAGCCGCACAGCCCAAACCCCCAAACCAAACTGCTGCAGATTACTTCTGGAACCCCAACAGCCTCTGTACCGTAAGCCTAAGCCCTACTTGCCCTACTTGGCCCCAATCGTCTTGACGGGCTTAAAGTTCGAGGTTTACCAGAAAAGCTTTAGCGGCAGGAGCAGGTTTTGCGGCCTGGTGCTACTCCGGATGTCTCTGGAACATGCAGAAATGTTTCCGAGGCATTAGTACTCCTGTGTCTTTTTGGGTTGTGCAACAGAGTACAGCAAACAGTGCTACAATGCTTTATCCGAATATTGACCGCAAAATCGGTCTTAGCCGGGGTGACTGAGACCCATCCTGACTCTTTGCACACGTTGACAGAGGGATTCCAATTTACCTAGCTCGACCAGACACATGCAGTTCAACCAGCTCTGCGTGCCTGCACTCCAGTGTGCATATGCATTGTTCAACTTCGCATCGTGGTTTGGCCACTGACAGACACGATGATTGTCGAGATGTCGCAACTTTCGGAAGACGTCAAGATGCTCTGTTTGTCTTCCATGCCTTATTGTCTGTCCTCAAGTTCGGTTTGAGCATGTTCTCGGCAAGAGCGACAAGATGGAAGCTTTTGCCGCAATCGTCAACTTATCGAGCTGCTGGCCCCAAATGCAACTGGCACACAATGGCCGAAAAGCCGTCCTCAATGCAGTGTCCAGGTGCCGAGACTGAGCCTGGTAGTAAATCAGGTCGCACGCCGTCTCTTTCACGGACTGACCGCGCGTATGGTTCGATGCAGTCCATCGTGGACGGAGGCCCTCCACCACTCTGTAAGCTGCAAACCGAGACTGCTACGGTGTAGCATTTCCATCTTACGACTTTGCTCTGCCCCCCACAGATAATCGAATACTGACAGAGAACTGAAACTGGACAAGAACCGGGAGAAGTCACAGGGTACTCCGTGTGCAAATCAAGTCGTCAACACGTCAGGGTTCAGAGGTTACGACTGTAACCCTAAATTTTTAGCCCTGAACCAGCAACTAGGCCAGTTGAAATCTAAAGCACTACCATCCAAGCCCATGCCTCCAAGTTAAACTAGGAAATATAGCTGCGGGATCATAAGAATAGGGTCTTTGGGTATGTAGAATATTTTTGAAGGGGACAGCAGGAGCTATAAGGGGTTACTATTATTCCTATGGTTGGCTTCACGCTGCTATTCTGTATCATTGCATGAACATATATATATATATATATACAACATAATATTAGACTGTATAATGTTACATGCTGTGAAGTTATATCAGATTATGTTATAATATATTATGTTATATTTTATATATATACACACCTATACATATACATATACATATACATATCATGGTTTTGAATATCAAGTCTTATTCCGACCCCTGTAATTCAGCCCAGGCACTCCAGTTGGCTCATCCAAAACCTCAGCTTTCGACGGGGGTTTTTGAGGCTCCGGGGCTCTAGAGGCGTTGTGAGAAGATTCGGGGTTTATAGGGGTTTTGGGTTGAGGGGTTTAGAGTCTAGGGTTCAGGAGCTTAGGGCTCAGGGTTTAGAGTTTCAGGGTTTGCCGGCTTGGGGCTTTGGGCCTGCAGGGTTTTGGGGCTTTCAGGGTTTAGGGTTTAGGGTTGAGGGTTGAGAGTTTAGGGTTTAGGATTTAGGGTTTAGGGGTTAGGGTTGGGGTTTTCAGGTGTGTTTGGGGCTGAGGGGCTCAGGGTTTAGAGCTACATCGACAGCCCTCGGCTGGATGTCGTGCAGACAGCCCTCAGCCCCCAAACCTTTCAACCAAGATAGGGGCCTTAGAAACTAGTGTTAGATAGCTGAACTATAATCTCGTATATTCTCCTATAAGATACTATAAACATACTCCAATTATATTGGAGCCTAATATGAGGGCCCTAAACCCTAAACCCTAAACCCTAAACCCTAAACCCTAAACCCTAAACCCTAAACCCCTAAACCCTAAACCCTAAACCCTAAACCCTAAACCCCAAACTTGGTGTTGGTAACTACCCGGGCCCCAAACCCCAGGCGCTGGGCCCCCGCAACCTTCTGACCTCCACCCTACACACGAACCTTAACATCCGGGTTTAGGGTTTAGGGTTTAGGGTTTAGGGTTTAGGGTTTAGGGTTTAGGGTTTAGGGTTTAGGGTTTAGGGTCTAGGGTTTAGGGTTTAGGGTTTTGGGTTTAGAAATCCGGAACCCTATTAATTTAGGGCTTCGGGTCGAAAGTCTCGGGCTTGCCCTAAATTCTTAAACTCCTCTCCTGGGCCATCGCCCGCTAAATACGTCTGCAACCCAAAAACACCTGAAGCAACACAGCAATCAATCAAAAAGATAAGAAACCCAAGTGGTTGAGGGTCTCGGGCTTAGGCCTCAAGCCCCCACCCCTAAAACCCTAAACCCTAAACTCGAAACCTGTAAAATTGAAGCCCTAGACCCTGCCCCCCAGCCCCGGCCCCAGCCCAGCCC